TTTTTCTGTCTGCGGCATAGTGCGTGCACCGTCATAGCATCCTAGGAAACTCTTACCTACAAGAACCTGGTACTTCGCTTTCAGCCAGCTTTTGGTATCAGTCGTATTTTGGACCAGTTTTGACATATTTACTTAATAAAAAGCTACGATTAAAAAAGATTGTTCGAATACGTAGAACGATGATCAAAGAGGAAATGGGGAGCGTGCTTAGCGTTTAAGAAAAAATTTTTTTAATCTACTGATCATGTGACCTAATTCGAGTCCTATGATTGGCTCTCAACTGAGCATTATTGTGTTCTATTCCTAGTCGACCACACCCTTGCAATTAAATGTGGGAATTCACAACAAATTGTTTGCATTAATTAGCTATAATTCCTTAAGGGAGCCTAAAGAAACTTTTCCCCTTCAGCACTCTTAAATGAGCGTGTGACCAGCTTATTGGCTGAGTGTTTTCTCTTGCCTCTTTGTCTGCGTGAGATCTGGTAAGAGGTGCGAAGTCCCTCCCGATCACCTAATGTCGCATAATAGAACCCAGATTTGACCGAGCCAATAAAGTTTAGGTACGGATTAGATCGGGTTAGGGGAGGAGTAGGCGCACAGTTGCTTTGATACTGGCATCGATCCGATTATTTTCGCTGTGGATCCTCGGGAAAAAATGGCGCATTCTTCTGCTTGGGTGCAGCTTCCATTTGAAAGCGACGATTATTGGCAACTTTCCCAATATCAGCAGCCGATATGGCATGCAGTGTTCTTATATAATGAAGTTCTCATATAATTCAGTGTTATTATATAATGAACTTCTTTAGGTAAAATCTAGCCTGCGATGAGCGGTGAAGACGTGTGTTGGAAAATCTCCATGATGCTTCAAAGCACCCACAAAACCGCTTGTTACGCAGGCTAAATAAAATCATTATTTTTTTACATCCTTAGGATTAAAGCATTTGACAAAGTTGAACCAAGAAGGCAGGTAAACGTAAATTTTAATATCTACAACGATCTTTAAATACAAAATTATAGCAAAGTCAGCAAAAAAATTATCAGCCACAATCCAGGTTCCTGATGAAGTTTTTCCTAGATGACGTCATTCATCTGCAGGCGAACACAGAATCTCTTTGCTGTCTCTTTGTATTCTGCTTGTCATACCAGTGGAACCAGATTGACAAGCATTTACCTGAGGGTCAAACAAAATCAAAACAGAACAAAGAAAAGTGAATTACCTATATATTTGCATTAAAAACCGTAGCTACACTAATACCCCATTCACACCAAATCTTAAACCAGATTTAATGCTGTTTTGTTGAACAGAGTTTAAAATTTTAATTCAAATTCAGCACATTGAAAATGAAATTGAGTTGGTTACTTCTTGGATCCTATGGAAAATTCAGCTTTTCAGTTCTCTGTTTGGGTTTCATTCCATTATTCATCAGGTTTAACTAAACATACTTTGGTGCTCTGATTGGGGTACCAGACTTACAGAACAATGAACACATGATTTATTTTTCTGAAGCAAGGAAAAGTCTGACTATCATATGGATGAAAAAGTTTTTCTTTACAGAGAATTCATCTCAAAATTCGAGATTAATTTACCATGACAGGCATACAAAGAAGTAGGGAATAAGGAAGAATGAATTTTTATTGCATGGTACACAACTGTGAAGATCAGCGATCCTTAAAAACCATGCCTTCTGCGATCTTTCTGCTTTGCAATTGAATGTATCATCCTTTCTTCCTACTGAAGCTGGACCTGTATTTTTCAGATTTTTAAGGACAGTATCATATGAACCCTTTCACCATCAGATCTCATAAGTAATTCTCCCAACTGTCAGTCATACAATTCTCATAATGTTAGTTTGGAGAATTTGGTATTGGATCAACTAACAATTGCCCAACTGATATTTCTCTTTATTCTTATCACTTGTCTCCTTGACATTGCATTGGTATTGTAAGGAGAAATTCTGTCTTGGTCACCCCTGGGATGTTAAAGGGTTCATTAACCATTCAACAACACTTAGTTAATTAATTAATTAATTTTAAAAAACTGATCGAGAAATGGAAGGAATTTGTAATTCATGCACAGTACCTTCCTCATCCTCCCATGGGAGGACCTGGATTGTAAGGAGCACCTGTTAAAAGAGAGTGACTCTTAAAAGAGAGCAACTCATTAAAATTTAACCCTCCTATTCTTAAGATCACATTGGCAATTCTCCTTACTGGCTGCGATACAATTCTTGTGATGTTAATTCAGAGAATTTGGTATTGGATCAACTAATAATCCCCTAATAATCTTTATTCTCATCACTTGTCTGCTTGACATTGTCATGATATTGTAAGGAAAATTCTGTCTCTGTCACTTGTGAGAGTAAAAGGCTAAAGCAAATAATTAAACAAAGGGATAAGAACATTTCCCAGTTCTAACAAGAGCATTGTGCTGGGAACTGGTTGATCACCAGACTACTCTGAATAAAGGTTTAAATAGCTAGAATAACTCTAACATACATACATAGATGTACAATAGTATCTATTTGGCACAAAAATATGTGCGGATATTTGTTTGTGCACATTATCTCCTCGAAGATACAAACAGTTTTCTGAGAGTGAAGCTCTTGGAAAACTGTGAGCTTCCAGGAAAAGATAATGTCTAAGGACAAATACCCCATACATATTTTTGCGCAAAATAGAGACTATTGTGATCATTACCCTTCAAATATTTGTGTAAAAATGTTTGCAGTGTGGGATGTTTTCTTTGGAGTGTCCTCTGGTATGACTTAATGAACAAAAAAAGATTTCCCTTACTCTGTAACAACCACAAACCCTCTCTCATCTTAAATTAAATTTGAAATGAAGACTTAATGTAGTGGACATAAGGTTTAAAAATTGGGGAATATCGCTTTGGTGATATTGGACTTGGTGATATTGGACTTGGCGTGTGACTTGCCTCAGTCAAATCTGGGTTCACCCCATTTAAGCTGGGGGATATTCTGTCACACACTGAATTTTGACTAGTTGCGCACAAGCAAATATATTTGATGGATCATTAACTTATTTCATTACCTCCACCTCCTCTACCAACTCTTCCAAATCTTCTACCAGGCGGTCTTGGAGGTCTAAAATGAGAATTTAAAATCTGATCACAACAACCACAATCTTGTATCTTGCATTTTTCCCAGGCCTGCTTGCCCCATCACCTGCACCCTCATAATGGAATTTTTCTATCATTTTTTTTTTAATCAGAGATTTAATTCTGACTGTGGAAAAGGTAAAGGCAAAGTCTCTACTCAAGCAAAATGACCCAGCCAGCCAGAATTTATCTTGGTATTGATAGCATGAAGCAACTGGGGGTACCACTGCTCCCCCCTGGATGCTAGTCCATCACAAGGTTACGCCGCCGCCCCCCCCCCCTTCCTCCTACATTTCATCAGGTTTCTCTGACAATTTGCCAGTACCCATTTATACTGCTGGTTGGAGAGAGGCACTCTGAAGGTAAAACTTTTTTGTCGGAGGACACAACACTTTGACTTGGCCAGGTCTTGAACACAGAATTCTCGACTCAGAGTCCAGTGCACCAATTACTGGTCCATCCTTCTCCCATGAATGTGCAGAAGAGGCAGTTTTATTCTCCACAGTATTTTTATGTCAGTTAAGCCTTGGCAGTTTCAATAGCTCTAACCCATCATTATATTGTCTAAGGAAAGTTCATTGCCAAGTCTTGCTGGCACAGAAATTTTCATGAATCTTTGCCACTATCTTGTTCCTGTTAAGAGCTAGGTATTCTATTGATTTCCCTCTTTAGAGAATAATTTCCAATTAAAATTCACCAGTCCCTATCTTGAAAGAAAAGTTCAGGGTGAAATTAGGTATTTTCAAGCCAAACTTGCATGAGACTTACTTAGCCATCACAAACCTCTGGTCATACAAGCAAATAAAGACATTTAAAGACACATTGTTAAAAACAAACAAACTCACCCTCCACCAGGTCTGTACTCTGAATTAGAATATGAGTTACCATGTTTTGTAAGTCCAGGCTGAAAATATAACACATTCAATTTATACTGTAAGCACTTTGTATTACCAGTGTGTTTCAATATTTTTTGTCTTTGATCTCATTAACATTTTATGAAGGTAATATTGTACAATTTTGTCTAAAATTATATGCATGATTTCAAAATTAAACAAGTGCACAGCAGTACTAAGCCAGTTTGTAAAGCTAAGTGGAACTTAGAATAGAAATATTGAATGACAAAAGAAAAGTTTTTGGAACAAAAGTAGTAAAATTTGCTTCTTTGTCTTTTTTTCCCCTACAGATTGACTGGTTACTTTAATCAAGCCTTGGAATCTGATTGGTTGTTTTGTTGTAATGCTGCTCTCATTAGCTGAGAAAAATGCGATTTAGAGCAAAAAAATAGCGTGATTTGTGAATAAATCACACTGCAGAGAGTCAATCAGATTGCAAGGATACCAGTGGTTTCAAAATGTATGTTACGAGATTAAAAATCCACTACTATTGAAAGGAGCAGCTACATCTTTGAGAAGCTCGTGAATTGTAATGCACAATTGATTTCCATTATCACTTCCTGTTTCGCTATGTAACACTGACAGTTCCACACCACAGTGAACTAAAACATCAAGTGTAGCTGAACATGAATTGCAAGTGCTGGTAGATTTAATTGTCCCTCGATGTTTTAGGCATCAAATTCAAGTAAATGGTAGAAAAATTCCAGCTATAGCATGATTTAATCAATTCAACTTATTCTTAACACGACATTTGTGATGCCTACGTAGACCAGATCATAAAATGGCGATGGATGATGCTTTTAAGCGAAAAAAATACTCACCGAAAACATGGTGTGGAAGCTGTTTGCACATTGAAGACAAAAGAGAAGAAAGAAAAAACATTAGAACCGCAGATCACAGAAACGTTTTGGTTTTACGTGTAATGTCCACAAAGGAAAATCGTATCATCTGCTTACAATAAAATGACGAAGTTGATAATTCCCCAGAAGACGTCGGAGAATATGGATAATCTCCATATCGATCTTCTCTCTAAGACGTTACCTAGAAATCGGAGGACGAAAGAGTTACAATACATAAAATATAACAACCATTTTTGATTTCCAAAGTTCACTTACTTCCAGAAACGTACACCATTTTGGTGAATCAGTTTTTATTTTGATTGCGCAAGGCTTGGATCGAGCCTCTTTTCGATGATCACCGAGCTGGAATCTGAGCACTAAGGTGTCCGATTACTATAGCAACAAGAGTTAGTTGCAAAATGGCGGTACATTTCAGTGTGTTTGTAGTAGAATTTTGAATTTCTTTTCCCTCGTCAAAAAGTCTATAATTTAGCCTTAAGACTACATAGTAAGCTTCCAGAATTATGGGGAAGAAGAAGGCGAAAGAACCAGAAACTCCAGCTAAAGACGAGGTGGGTTATTTTGCATAAAAGCGAACACGAAATTCACCAATCGATGTATTGGAAAAAGTTGACTTCATGAACTTATGGGAAACTTAAGAATTTTTTTAAATAATCCATGGTATCTGCGGTATCCGCGATCAAATAACAGGGCCTAGTACCGAGAGGGTTCTTTAATCCGAAATTTTCCAGCTGTTGTGAAGGACTATTTTGGTAAACGCGTGCATTATGGTCCATTTTAGTCAGGTATACTACTCAAACATAAGCGAAGTGGAATTCTACTTCGATTCTATTTTCCACGATTGTCAGAGTGACACAAATTTGAGTTATTATTCGAGTTTAATTTCTCTCTTCATCCAAACTTGTTACGAACGTGGCGTTTAGATGGAAGGCGTTGTTTGTTAAACAAATTTTCCCTTCGAATTCGTGGACTGTACGTGTACAAATTTTATTTCTGAGCGCTGTGTCGGTATTTCCAAAAATGCGAATGCTTGTTATATTGTACTGATTCAAAACTGTACGTGAAGACTTTATTTTACTTTATTTTTACTTTATTTTTTTACTTTATTTTTGTTCTCATCAACAGCATCTCAGAAATTGACTTAAAATCTAGCTGAAAACGTAAAGTGTAGCTCTAGTTACTTAAGTTTCTTAAGTTTTCCTTTTATTTGGTTTAAGTTTTCTGTATCATGCATTAATTCATATAAATTTGTATATTCTTTTATATTTTATATTCTTCATTATTAGCTAGTGTTAACAAATGTTCACACTTTCCTCATCATATTCAAGTCACACGTCAACTGTTGTAAATGTTGTGATTGGTTTATTAATACATAATTATGCAGGCAGTAGATTACTGCAACCCAAGTGGTGATAATTAACATCTAAGTTTTATTTGTTTGGGTACTATTTTGAAATGGTTAGAAAACTTAATGATATAGGTACTGGTTAGCCTCTAAGCTATTTATCAGATTAAATTAGAACTCTTTTCTGAAATTTGAATATCTATGAGGTTATGTTACAATTTGATACTGATTGTTTGTTCAATATATATTGAACTGTAAATTTTGCAAAGCTTTTTAAAATTTTTGGATGGAAATTACTTGCCATTCCTATCAAACACATTAACCCTTAACTCCCAGGAGTTATAAACATGTAACTTCTCCTTATAATATTCATACATTATCCAGAAAACATGTAATGAGAATACTAAAACTTATCAGACAAGTAAAAGTTGTTATTTTGATCTTACACCAAGTTCTTGTAACCAATTTACAAGAAAATGTGTAGCAACTAGAGAGGAGAATTAACAATCAGATCTTTGAAGTTGAAAGGTTAAAACCTGTTTTGTTGTTGACAGGAATTATTGATAAATGTGCTTGTTTCTGTATGACAGTTTGACCCTCTGGAACTTGTCAGCAAGAAGCCCCACACAGTTGTTTTGATGCTAGACTCTCCAGAGGAACATGTTCTTCAGTCAGCTTGTGAAGCACTGCACAAGTTTGCAGAAAAGTGTTAGTGTTCTTTATTTGCTATTTACTTTCCTCCAACAGAACACTGCAACAGAAAAGTATTAAACTTTAGAGTGATTTCTTTTAATTTATAATTTTGAGTGCTGGCAATACACATGCCTTTAGTGCTTAATTTGCCACTGAAACTACATGTAGCCCAAAGTTTTTGGTTACTTAATTAATGTGTCTATAATTTGGGATTAAAATTAGGGGAGGGGGGGGGGGGTTTCACCATATCTTACATGGATGGGTGAAAGATGTGGTAGCTTAATAGTTATAGTACCCTATGGTAGCTTAATAGTTATAGTACCCTGTGGTTTGTGTGTATAGATGTCCAGGTGGGAGACCTGATGGGGTAAATGTGTTGTACCACTTTACTTATAACAGTGCCTCTCTCCACCCAGGAGTAAAAATGGATACTGGTGAATTGTCAGGAAAGTGTGATTAAATGCTGGGGAGGGGAAATCTTGTGATAAACAAGCATCCCATCCAGGGGGGGAGTAGTAATACTCCTAGTTGCCTCTGATTTAATTAGGAAACCAGGATCAGCTCTGGCTGGTTGCACCTTTTGAGTACAGTACAGAATTTCTTTTATGGGGGTGAGACTGCAATTTTTAGGTTGGTAAATTAAGAATTCAAAGGATTAATTTGTATATATGATACTTACATGTATGTGGAGATCAGGCATACCATAGACAGCCCCAGAGTAACTGATTGATAGAGGGATCGGTGTCCTCTTTTAATAGCTGGCCAATGGTTAGCTATCAATCAGCTGATGGCAGAACAGCACCAAGAATAAAATTTGGGCTAATGTTTGGGCTGAAACTTTTACTTGAGTACAGTGATATTGAAGACTTTGCCCTAGTACTGGTTGGGTTTTGGTTGATTTCCTCTTTAGACCATTAATTCCCCTTATTTTCAAAGCTGCAGTGTGCTGCAATGCAAATTACATTCTTTAATGGTTGTGCAGGTGACGAGAACAGACAGGAATTGTTGAACCTGGGGGCCTTAGAACCTTTGCTTAAACAAATCATGTCTGAAGACAAAGTGGTGAGAAGAAACGCTACCATGTGCCTCGGGACCATGGCTCAGAATGGTAAGTCTTGCATGAACAGAAAAAGTGTATCTCATTCAATTATAAGGTGGCTCTGAATCATGAAATTACCTGCATTCCAGCATGTGTTATAATTATATAATAATTATATGTGTATTATATAATTAGCTGGAACTTATATGCAATTGTTTGATGATCATTAATACATGTAGTTTTGAAACTGCAGTTATGTTGATTTGTGTGTCTTGACCAAAATTATTGCCTGCAAAGGGTGTTCTGACCAATAACTGATTCTGTATTACACTACTCATGGAAATACATGTCCAGTATAATACTGATCTATTGTAATCATAACCACAGGATGAATAGATAGATACCAGTCCTCTTACTAACTGAGTTTGAGGTTTGTTCTGTAAAATTAGTGACCAATTTTTTTTTCACATTCCAATTTATTGCCCAAGCTCAAAGCTTGCATGTTGTTAATCTGAGTGGAAAAAAAAATGTTACATGTTAAATTTCCATATGATTTTTCCCACTAATGTGTTAACATTTTAAGCTGGTATAATCAAGGAAAGGGTGAAGAGTGTTTTTGGGTTATTGGTAGGATGCTGACTGTGCTAAATTTCTGTGAATATTAAAAACTTGATTTGTTTTCAGCAAATGTCAAAAAAGAACTTCGAAAGCTGTCTAGTATTCAGCCTTTGGTAACATTATTGGGACCCGATGGTGAGTTTGAAATAATTAATTAAAATAAAACTTAAATCTGAAATGACGAATTTTGATTTATAACCATGTTAAAGGGCAGCTGATGTTTATTCATTAGGTAAATAGAATGAAATTATTTTCCAAACTTTTGAAATATTTTTATCATTGACAATCACTTATTTTTATAATTTTCCAGAGGATGTTTTGTGCCATGAATTTGCAAGTTTGGCTCTTGTATCAATGGCAGGTAATTATATACTACATACAGTAATTTGGAAGTAAAAACTGCATTTATTAATTGAAGTGTATTATCAATACATGTTGATTGCTAAAGTTGTAACTAATTTAATCTTGTTCCACAGCTGAGTTTTCTTGCAAAGTGGAGATCTTTGAACAAGGAGGCCTTGAGGCAATTGTAAAGCTTCTGTCATCTTCTGATTGTGATGTGCAGGTATATACACAGAGGGAACCTATTTCAAAGATGCACCAACCATAGTGGTTGAATTCCATCCAATCACAGCTGAGCACAACAGCATAAAAAAATTATCTATAGCTGATGTGTACTTAATCAGTCACATCACATGAAGAAGACTAACAGTATGCAGTTTAAATGTCATGATCCACATCCAAAGTGACCACATCATGAGGCAATAGATTATACTTCCCTTTGGAAAGTGCTCTTTAGCATGATGACAAACCACAACCCATTTTACTATACCTTTATATGCATTGGTATTTCTTGTTTCTTTGCACCTCTTTCAATCCAGTAGCACATACAGGTTGTTCACTGTATGTATTGCAGTTCCACTCTATCTTACAACAGGTTTATCAAAGAGAGCATTAATCATTTTTTATTGACTGTCATAAAACCAAAACCATGAGTTTAATTACATTTAGTACATGCTTATGAGGACTTATTTAGTGATGTTATAGTTGTCTTATTATAATAATGTTGTTAGCATATCTATCAAATTAAGTGTTTTTTTTTTTCAATTTTTTTTTCACAGAAAAACTCTGTTGAGGCTGTCTCATTATTAGTTCAGGATTATCACAGTAGATCAGCAGTAAAAGAACTAAATGGTAAATATATTACAGTGTGCCTTAAACCTTTTATGCCCCTAAACATCAGTATGCATATTCTCCATACTGCTCTCTATACATTTACTAAGGCGCTGATAAGGAGAATTCGTCTTACAATAAAGAGCTTTGTTGGTTGGTGATCATTTCCTTTATTCTTCAGATCTCTTCTTCTTTAAACAATAATATTTTATGCTCACAGTTTTCAATGAACCTTGATGTTTGAGAAGCCTTGTACATAGTGAAGTAATTGCATACTAGATACTCATGTACACTTGCTCTGACGAAGGGCTAATGCTTGAAATGTCAGCTTTGAAACTCTTACAGAGGCCAATTTATGTTACACTTGTTTGGTTTCTTCTCAGGGTTGCAGCCACTTTTAGCTCTGTTAGACTCAGAGTATGCCATCATCCAACAGCTTGCACTGGAGTGTTTGATTCAAATTACACTTGATGGTAATGACTTTAATGGCCATCTTATTCATGTAATAAAAGTTAGACAACAAGCATCAAATACAGATTTTATTGGTTATTTTTTTGAGCCATGCCTTAAAAAATATATAGTTTCCCATCATACTCCTCCCAGAAGTGGGTTTGTCAATCAGTTGGCTATTCTTCCTCCCCTCCCCTTCAAAAAAGGCCTAACGCATACATTTTGGATATAATCATGTACATGAAAAAGTTACACACTTCTGCTTGGTAGAAAATGAGTACATTCTCATGTAACTCTTATTACATAAGTAGATTTAATTAATCTCTATACAAAATAAAATTTCGATGTCGTGCTTTGATGTAAAACTGAGAGAGTTTATTTGATTTGGTTGTAAAATTTTGATGGTGAATCTGTAATTTTTTTTCATTTTTACCTTAAAAATTGGATAATTGGGGTGGTAGGAAATAATAGATACTATTGGGATGGCCTTATATAGCTGGGCAGGATGAAAAAATAATTACAATCTGATTGGCTACGGCAAAATGACCCATATCTTGTCCACTTTATATTGATCTGTAAATACCTAGCAACAGAGTTTAATTTAATCCTTTAATTCCCAGATCAAATTTGTAATTTTCCTCACCGTCAATCATACACTTCTTACAATGCTAGTCTAGAGAATTTTGTATTGGATCAACTAGTTATTCCCAAACTGATATTTTTCTTTATTCTCATCACTTATCTGGTTGATATTATATTGATATTGTAAGGAGAAATTCTGTTTTAGTCACTCATGGGAGTTAAAGGGTTAACTTGATTGTAGAAATGTAGAAAGAGTACATGTACTTCAGATAATTGTCACGGCCTCTTAGCGTTACTCAACTATGGAAATCATACCTCGTATTTTACAGCTGACAACAGAGGAGCTTTGCGAGATTTGGAAGGACTTGAAAAACTTGTTGATTTTGTTGGAAACAAGGTACGGTTGCTTGTAACTAGTGTGTTTTTACGCCATCTTTCCACATCGTTTTTTATTGTGAATTAAGTTATTGCAGCAATGTTGTTTACTCCTGTCATTTTAATAGACTGATGCGTTTTCATTGCAGGAATACGAGGATTTACATGTGCAAGCATTGCAAGTGCTGTCAAATTGTCTTCAGGATGTAGACAGCATGCAGGTAACAAACTTTTATTCCCTCAGAGTGTGCTTGTGTGCCTTAAAATTCTTTGAGTTGCCAATGGGAAATAGATTGTATCATTGCACACTTCATAATAAATTGTCATTAAAACAACGATTGACATACACCTGTACTGAAAATGTTTTTAAAGCTATAAGTTAATCCTTTTTTTTTTTAGCTTATTCAGACGTCTGGAGGATTACAGAAACTTCTTGCTTTTGCCGCTGAATCTAATGTTCCTGAGGTGCAACAACATGCGGTAAGAAATTGCAAAACCCAATTTCACAGCCGTATGGAGATAAATGCATGACTTTATCTGTTATCGTTCATTCGCACCTGATTACAGAGCTACCGTTACTTCTCTCACTTGTATCTTTTGTATCCTTTTATCTTTCAGGCGAAAGCCATTGCCCTCGCTGCGAAAAATGGTAATCTAATCTAATCTATTTCTTGGTGCTTATAGCGACTAGAAACATGGTTCTGACTATCAAGCTGCCAAGTAGATGAAGTCATCTTCGGACCTGCGGGGATTCCCCTTAAGTGGCCTCGATGTTTAATGCGGGCCGCCCCGCTAGGAAAAGGCCATGTGTATAGTCTTTGCTGGAGTGAATTCGGCTATGTGAAGCGTTTTGACCAATCTGCGTGGCCAAAAATCACTTATAGTAAAAATTACATTTTTACGTCTAAGTTTTTTGCGTATTTCGTGTTCATGATGAATATTTTTTGATATTTTGTTGTAGGAGAAAATCGTAAAATCTTCCACGAGCAGGAATGTGAGAAGACGTTGATAATCCTACTGTCCATAGAGGTAAGCTGAATTTCTTTATCTTTCAATTCTGGCCGTCAAGACGGCGAGTACTCACTGTAAAACTTTTTACATGTTACGGTTTTCGTTTGGGTCAGGTTTAGGTACGTGTGTTCTTAGAAACGCCTTCTGCATAAATCATCCCTACAAAAACTGCTATATTTAAAAAACTGCTTTTCTATATAAAGATAACTATAGCTGTCTTAGTAAGCACCAGGCGGAAACGCGACTTCGTAATCGCGTGCGCTAGTCTGCAGCACTTGCGCCTTTTAAATCGGAGACTTGTCCTGCACGCCAAGATGGCAAGGAACGAAAATTCTTTCCACAGAATGCTTGGTGTATACTGGCAATTGGCGGCACTTTTTATATGTTATCATCAAACAGAAAAATTAAATAATTTATAATGTATTTTCTTGCTTTCTACTGTTAATAATGCTTAAAAATAAATAAACGAATATAATTTAGCATATAGACAAATTAAACTCAGATCAATCGGCTGCGATCAATCTGTTTGCAATGATTATGTACTAACTTGTGCAGTAATAGGAATTTTAGATACAGATGTGTTTTTATGCGTGACCAGAAGGGAAATGCGACTACTTCAAGTGCGCTTTGACATCAACCAATCTACTGGGAAGTCTTGCAAGGAGTCCCCTGAAAGTCACGTCAAGTGATGAACACCTCTTTTTAAAAAATGTATTTTATTACTAATGTCATTACTAAGTGCCACGTACAATAACTCCCTACTTCTGACCTCCCCTCACACCTAAAAAATGTGTATGTTTAAACATCCTGATATCAATATTATGCTGCAATTTTTTTACTAGAGCCCTGGTGTCCAGGCCTCGGCATCCTTAGCCCTTGCAGTTATGTCTGAGAACCTTAGTAGCAGAGATGTGATTGGAAAACTTGGTAAGAACCAATAAAAAAAGTTGATTTACTGCGCACAAATGGTAAGCGCGCTGGCTCTGCATTGAGAGGTGTGGGTCCCAGCTCCCGCCGAATCATGATGTTGTGTTTTGTGGCAACTCACTTTACTTTCTCAGTGCTTCTCTTCACCAAGAAGAATATATTAGTAAGGCGATTTTTCAGGGAAAGATGATACAATTTGTAACTGCAGCCCTTCTGCAAGGATCAGTGCTTTACATTTATAAAATTAGCAAATGAAAATGTAACTTATTTTAAATTTTGAAATTTTGGTCCAGTAACTTGCAGCCTCAACCACACGTTGTTCTGAAAGACCTGAAAATTCCTTGTCTTTCCTTTTGCAGAAGGTATACCGTCATTAATTAATCTACTTACCAGTGACAGCCCGGACGTGAGAGAAGGAGCGACTCTGGCACTAGCAAATATTACCACTGCCAACAGTACAAACTGCGGGTAAGACAATGTGTAGTTCAAATAAAACAAAAACGTTCTGGTAAGTTACTACGTTATTCCCCATGGGTGACTGTTTACTACAGGTTGGACTGTAACCCATGCTTCATTATGCTTACAGTCCTTGAATTAATGAAAACCATGATAAAACAGTAAATTACATTTGGGACTACAGCTTGTTTTTAAAATAGAAAGGAATTACTTACAGCGCTTTTCGATAGAGTGTCGTGAAACCAAATAAAATTTACTACAACAGTCATTAAGAAGTGGGGAAAATGTCAATGAGAACTCAAAGATAAAACAACCAAATTGCCCAAAGCGCGGGAAAACGCGGGTGACTAAGTCGTGATCAGTCTTAGTTTTGCATCTGATTGAGAGTGGCGCTAAACGTGAAAATCTATCCGTTCAGTCTTCCTTAATATTGCCTATCCATCCTTTCCTAACCGCCACGTTACCTACAAGTACAATACAAATGTTTCCTCTCCGTTTTAAGTTCTTTGTTCTTGTAGTTCATTCGTGTCGGTGGCCAGAATTTTCTGATGTAAGATTTGTTTTGACGAAGTACTGTGTGTATAATGAAGTGTGGGAAGGTGGAAATCTTGTCAAGTCTAGTTGCAAAGGGAATTTTCATGATCTTTTAACTCGCTCTCGTTGAGCACAGTACATGTCAAAGATCAGCGGCCAACTCACACAAAACACACGCACTATTTTTGTGTTAACGTCATTCATTCGCTTTTGATGTGCTTTTTCCCTTTTTGTTTTTTTTGGTCCTATTACTTTTCTTTTTCTTTTCATTGTTTTACGAAACACTTATTGTCATGCATAAAGCATAAATTTATGGGATTTCGTGCAATTATAGTGACGTGGTAGACAAGGGAGGAGTTGATCCGCTGATCACACTGCTCAATGACGTTAAGCCTTCGGTTCAGGCTAATGCAGCTGTTTGCCTCACCAACCTGGCAACAGAAGGTAAAACCAATGTTATACCTTTCTATTGTAGAGAACATATAAACAACTAGTTTTGATTTTATGGCAAAATTATTTGTTTGTCTTCGTTAATCATCGTTAGATGATCCCTCGTTTATCGCTAAAAGACGTGAAACTGTGCAACACATCTGGCAATACAACATCATAAACTTGCTTTGTTTTCAAACTGTCGAATTTAATTTTAAAGTCCAGTGTGAATTAGCGGCGAAGGCGCTTCCCTCACCCCCTTACTGTTCACGTCTGATTACTTTTTGCCGCGCTTTCTGTCCACTCCATATTTTCCTGCGCTTCCTTATAGCATCCATTCCACGCTTTCCCACGATTTGCGCCGTTTGCATGTTTTTGACAACTTAGTGTGCGTCACACCTGTTTCTATGACCTGGACCTGTCCCTTATTACAAGTTTTTCCGCGCCTAATGCGAGCTCTTTGAACTTGCTTTAAACTTAGGCTGTTATTTTTTTCATAAGGTTTTCAGCGTTTTTTAGTTATCTCTATATACTTGAGTTTCAGGTTTTTTTTTTGGCGATCCATGCTTTCTCTGCTTGTTTGGTAATTTTTATTCTGGTTCTTTATTTCAGAGTCGTGGAGATCAGAGGTGCAGCAAAGAGGTGTAGTACCTGCCCTTGTACAAGCTTTACAATCCAAGTAAGAAATTCATAATTTGACTCGTTCTTTTATTAAAGGTTGATAACAAAATACCAGGCAGACTTTTGTACCAGCGCAAGCACATCCCAGGGCTTTTAGCTCTGTAATTAATTTGTTGATACCAACAGAAAATGTCATACTGGTGTGAATCATACCGGCCCGAGTTCACCAGCAGTTGGCTTGCCGTACCAGAGCGAGTGTCATTCTGTTAAGAAATATTGCAACGGTATCGAGTTAACGAGGAAAAACCTCGTTTTGGCGGGAAACTTCCCCCACCTGTTAGGGGACTGGAGCTAGTCGTGCATGCGCAGTTGTGTCAAACAAAGATTGTATCGTCACGGTAGACGAGGAGTATAAGTATAAAACAGGCGTAGTTGTAAAGACAATATGAAATCAAGTAGTCATTACGGTACAGGGCATGCGCCAGGAAGGCATCAGGTGACATCACGAACCATAGCTCCGATGTAAATACCATTCTTGCCCGTAGTTTTCTCTCTTGAGAAAAGTCTGCCACGTGTAGAAAGCTCAGTGCATGTTTTTTTTTCTTTTAGTGCGGCAATAGTGCAGAGTAAAGCTGGAATAGCAGTGGCAGCCTTTGTGTGTGATGCAGACTCAAGAAACGAGGTAAAAGATATAAAGTTTCACAACTTAATGAAGTTAATACGTCCCAACAGATGATCCAAGTCACATTTGAAGGGATTTTTTTATGACATCGCACAGAGGCATAAAACGCCGCTCCCCCAGCATTTAATGATTATAAGTAGTCGTTAATCAACAACAGGTAACTTGTTTTAAGGAATGGGTCTGGGAAAACTCAGGGACAAATGGGAAATTAAAGTTGACTTTTCCAACATCTGCAAAACTGCACACCTCGGAGAATCTTTAGGTGCCCAAAGATTCTCGCCTCAAAAATCTTGTTTGCCCAGCTCTTAAAAGCGTTCATACAAGCAACTTATACAAGTCGCCTAAAGACAAAATACGGTCGCCAATAGCACTCGGGCTCTGATACAGCACAACCCTGATATGTTTTGATTGATGTGTGAAAGAAAAGCTGCATAATGATTACTGAGAACTGGGAGCCAAAGTGTTAAAGGAGCCACGCCTTAAATATTTAGCGTCAGGTGGCATTGTATTGTGTACTACTGTTTTGATGGAGTAGAAAAACATCAAATTAACTGAAAACGGACGGGAATGTCTCAGGATGGGGAAGATTGTTACAGATTGCAAATTTCAGATTTGATCAATTTAGGGCTTTAGCCACATTAGAGTTTAGGGGATAAAATACTCTACATGTAACACCTTTCACAGCTTTTTTAATCACACGGTCATTTGATTCTTCAATAGTTTCGTGCCGAAGGCGGCCTTCCTCGGTTGGTAGAGCTGCTACGGTCAGGCAATGATGACGTACGGCGGAGCGTGGCCTGGGCCGTGTTACAGTGCGGCAATGACCTGCCAACTGCGACTGAGATTTGCAGACTGGGGTGAGTTCATAATGAAAGAAGCGTAGATGCTGTGGTCTTTGATTTCATTGTTTTTCCGTTTGTTTTATCCTAAAATGCTTTTTATTTATTTATTCCGACGCATCTCTGTGACCAAAATCCTCACAAAAACTACCATTAAAATGAATTTCTCTTATCTACTTGTGCTAAGAGCCGAACTTGATTGTGTTTTACAGGGGATTGGATATTCTAGGAGAGATTTCTCTATCAAACACCCGTCAGTCCGGCTTCGCTAAGGCTGCCATGGATTGTTTGCTGGATAGCAACCTACCGGCCAAGTACGCCATGACTGGCACACTGGGACCTAATAACATCATTCAAGATGGATTTTATGACTGTGGACCGGTAAGGAATCTTTTTAAGATTTTCGTCAGATCGTTTGTATGTCGGACCGTTTGACCGTCTGTTTCACTGTCTGTCAGTCAATAAGTCAGGTTGTTTATCCAATCATGCAGGCAGTCAGTCAGTTAGTCAGTGAGTAAGTTGGTCATTGAGTTAGTCGGTCAGTCAGCCAGTTGGCCAATCAACCAGTCAATCAGCCAGTCGGTCGGTCGGAAATTTCCAGTGAATTAAGGCTCAGATAACAAGCAAATGACTACTTACAATTTCAGATGCAAACGTGGTAAATTAGAACGGAAAGAATCTGTATCTGTGCGATGCGATGACTTGTTTATATTGACTACTAACGACAAGTTTGAATACCTACGTGGAGAATTACTTACCAAAAACCACGTATCACGTTACAAAAGTTTAAAAGTCACTCGTCAGCAATTGATGCGACGTCATAATCAGTTAAGAGTGGCTTGAAACTTGCTCGTGCAGATGCAGTGCAGCACGCGCAAGCACATTAGATTCTAAACAGATACCTGCTTTTGATAGTTTTTCTTTCTTTTCTGGCTAGCTATTTTATTTAAAAGAAAATTAAAAAAAAGAAAAAAGAAAGAATAGATGAATACTGAGATATATGCATGAAAAAGAAAAAAAGGCAACATTATTGAAAGGGACATCCAAACAGAAAAAAACTATGAATGTCTACTTTTTGACCAAAGCTCCGAAAAGTTCGACCTTTTTTGTTGTAAAATCATTTTCAAAAAAGAAAATGGATTCAGTAGAGTGCGACGAAAAAAGGTTAGACATCTATCACGAAGTCGATGCACCCTTCACGCGTCAACTTCAACTGAATTCAAGTTAAAGTTGAATTTAAGGTTATTTGATCGTGATTGGTTGGAGATATAAAATCACGCGCGTCGCACGTGATTCCCAAACACCACGAAGGGAAGGTCAGTGAAAACTGCAAGTTCAAAATGTTACTAATAAAAACCCTACAGAGTTCTTAAGCTGTAGAGCTAGAGCCGGTGTGCCATCCTATGAACAATTCCGCTTGCTTCATAGGCTAGCACACCTATTAACAGAGCGTAATACGTGTTCGGTTTCTGTCTTGTACAGATGCGTCCTGACAGCAAGTTCCTAACTCTGGAGGAACTTAGTTCGTTGCCAACAGACGCACATAGGCCCATTCTTCTTGTTAACTCCAAGAACGCGGACAGGTAAGGTTGAGAAGGGTTGAAAAGGGTTTTGAATGAGCGCTAATGGATGTAAAGCTTTGTTCACAAAGCATGGATTGTGTGTAGTTCGGCCAGGATTTGGAGTAGTTTAATTGAGTTTCTTCAAACCAAAAGCATGGTGACCACAATGGCCAGTCAGAACAAAGGTTAGAATGACAAGCAACCGATGAAGGTGACCGATAGCGTAGAAAACATAATATTTCCACGCTCGTCACAAAACTAAGAACGTCTTCCTTTATTAATTTTCATCCAGGAAAACTCCTTCGCCCATCCTTCTAATACCCAAGGAGCCGGAGAAGAGCTTGGAAAAATTGGCAAAAGGAAGCAAATCTAACAAAGACCTGAGAAGGTAGAAATCTTTTGGTTGTGATTTCATAATCGAGATGTACCCATACAAATACCGTTCTATTTGAAGTAATTATAGTAAGTTAATGAATGATAATGATATATTTATCTCTCCAAAACTAAGAAAAAGTAAATATTGAACTATTTCCAAAGTGTGACTGAAAAGTTAACAATCCTAAAACCTTGTAACTGTGTATCATGTCTATTTACAAGTATGCGATAGTCATGAGCTACAACACCTGCAGCTTCTTCTGTCAGGGGTTTTCAATGTGACTTGAAGCAAGGACGATCCTTTATAATCATTTATGCGTCGATTATTGTAAAGCTTCAACAACCCCTCTTCCCCTCACCGGCACCTTCCCCCTCCTTGTATTCCGCTGGAAATACTTGACACTTCTAATTCAAATTCCCCACTCCCGCTAGGCAATGCTCAAATTCCCCACCTCCCCATGCACGGACGACAGTCAAATGCCCGTGGGTTGCCCGGCGGGGGGAACGGGGGGAATATTGTGTCTTGTGACTTAACGATGTCCTGATTGAATGCCACTCGGTATCATAGAAGTTTTAAATAAAGAGTGACAAACCTTTTGCGACCGTTTACTACGGAGATTTTTCTCCATAATGTTTTTTTCAACAAGACCACAAGTTTATTTTTCTATTTCGATGAAGCAAAAGTAAAACCATGCGCGAACGAGAAGAACAGAAACAAAGGGAAGAGGAGGCCGCTTCATCGGAGGTCTCAACCACGCAACAAGATGAAGCGCCTAACTGGCAGCCCCCCATGGATGAGGTATTTCAGGGGTACATTGAGGAGGTACGAAACACTATTCAGCCGTTAAACACGACCACAGAACAAGTAGAGGCTCTTGCAAGGTAAACCGCTCGTACCTCTTGTCATGTATCTGTGTTAATCTTCTCTATCCTTAAACATATTTTTTTCTTTCTAGGTTCATTTTTGCCTCTTTTGTGTTTCTCTATTTTACAGAAACAGTATTTTTAGTTTCCTTTACGTTAAAATTAACTCCGCGCTGCCTCAATAAGAAGAAAAAAACGAAAATTGAACTCTCGCGCCTTCAAGCCTGTCACTTAGAAGTCCCATTTGTTACCAGTCCCTATCAACTGTTTTTTCGTCTATCGTGTTTAAAATCGAATTGCTGGTAGTTTTGGAATTCAGACACTGAATATATAAGGAAACAAATGGACTGGTTTCTGAGTCAACACCTACTCTAATATCCCTTTGATAAAGATTTTGAATATGTCTTCGTTTCTGAAGAGATCGGGACATTCCAGAAACAGGCCAATGGCTTTTTCAACTCACCAATGTGTAGCGAAGTGGCAAAGGCATCTCAGCAGAATGTCTACTTAACGTTTTTTTCCTTCTTTGCAGTTTTGTCAGTAATAAGATGGGCGGATCGGTCGACAGAGAATCCCTCTCCACCTTCAGCTATGAGCTGCCAATCGGTCAACTGAAGGTGGAGCTCAACTCCAACATTATTCCCATCGGCAAGATACAGACTGGAATATATTATCACAGAGCTTTGCTTTTTAAGGTAATTTTGGCCCATAAATCAGTCAATATTCCCGACAAAAAGAGTATCATACATCATTCGATGAACTGTTTCTCTCTTTTCATTGGTCGAGAGTCCGCTACGTGACCTCAGAAAACTCAGCAGTTTTAATAGTTTGCTTATGCGTAGTGCCGTTTATGCTGCGCTCGTGAAGTTGTGTCCAGGCTCCACTTTAAAAATTGACGCCCGGCTTTTCTAAGCTGTTAGATGGTGATTACTGACACTAACGAGAACTGCGCGATACTGAAAAATCATGAAATTCTGCGATGGTTGAGGGTTCTTCTGCGGCCAAACTGTAATAGTGAGAAGCGACGTTAAGCTTTTATATGGAACCCTGGCGTTGAAAGGAAAGCTTTTGTTCTCTTGCTTTCTGAGACTTGTGTAGTCTGTTGTGATGTATTTCGGTTTGTTTAATTGAAAGTGCTTCTCTCTCCAGGCTCTTGCTGATCGCATTGCTTTAAGCTGCTCTTTGGTCCGAGGAGATTATAACAGGGCCTGGAACGAGGTGATGCTCTGTGACGAGGTGAAGGTGAGAAAACTAACGCTATTGGTTGAAGTGAAATGCAAGGAAAGGATATGTATACTGAAACAACAACTGTGATTATTAACTGAAAGACTTAAGCGACGGCTTTTCGGTGATAGTGCACGCGGTTCAATTGAGTGTGTAAGGCCGGGTTAAAAATAATGAGAACGATCAGTCGTGACAACGGGAAATATCAAAGAGCAGGGCAATGAGAACTCAGTGCAAAGGCGAGAACATTGTAGGTGCCAGGTCACGCTCGTTTTAATCTTGCATCAGATTGGTTAAAATGATAGCAGGAGATTTTAGACCAATCATGGAGCACTATGGAGCAAATCTTCTTGAGTCTCGGATAACGTTCGACTCTCAATTGAAAGTTCTCCTATTGCTTAAACGGGATCCGGTCTTGTTATGGAAGATTTCATTTTCTAATGCGGAGCGTAAAATTGCGCCTAATACAGGCACCAATGCGACTGAATTTTTTTCTTTGACGATCAAATCCTGATAATTAGTCGCCAAATTGGCGACCAGAATGCTTCATCATAACCTTACCTAGAGATATACTGAGTTTAAAAGATTTGCAAAGATAAATCCGCGGCAAACTTCCTCGTTAAGTTTGTTTCCAAAACGCAGCACGTGCATCTCGATCGATGACTATACGCCATCTTGGATTAAGGTGAGCTTGAATGTTGTATATCATCCATCCTAGTGTCCACTTTATGGCACGTGAAAGATCTTTTTCCTAACTTAATTTTGGAGGGCCTATCTAGAACGCTGACAGCGGAAAAAAAGGGTTTTGTTAGTCTTTAAAGATGGCGACCAACTTTTTTCGAATCGGCTACCACTTTGAAAAATTTAGGAACCAAGTGACTATCAGAAAAATAAAAATTAATTGCACGCCCTGTACTCCTATTCCTTTTTTTTTCCTTTGTTATTTAGGATGGTCAACCTAAGTTCCCTCCAAAGAGTTACATCGTCGATCTTATGCACATCCCTGGACGACTGATGAGTACTGACTCGCCCGAGGCCACTCTCTACCAAAGGCTTTAGCTTCAGAATCAAGTTCAGTCAAAACTGAAGAGGACTTCACAAAGAAGTTTTGAAATGACTTACGACATTGCAAAGCTCTTCACACTCTCAACAACACTTGAGGAAATCGCCTTGTAGATCAGGGAATTGATGAAATGTTTTCCGTCAGTGAAGTACCGTCACGAAATTCCACCTCTAAGTCTTTTCTGCTGTTTTTGTTAATTTGTATCGATGGATTTATACAAAGTGTATGTTGCTAAGTTTTGTGTAAAGCTGAGAAGCTCGTAGTGCTTTTTAGAGGTTTGTTCTTATTTTGTCAGTATTTATGGAAACTGGAAGTGTTCTTATTGTAAATAGTGTATCATAAAAACTTCATATTTGCATTCATCTCAGAACGATTGTTTTAATGCTAAAAAAAAATTATATTTAGAGTGGAGTGGATTTTACAAAACACTGTTATAGCTTTAGTTGGAAGGAAAGAAGCTACAGAGAGTGCCACGCTTAGCAGAAGGCAGCATGACTCCTTACCTGTAGAATTTAGTCTTTTTATTCCCTGCTATCTGCATCAGTTCTACTGGCAGTGCATTAACTTTTCTCGTTTCCCTTCTCTTTGGCCACTGTCCGACTGACTATCTCTAATCTGACTATTCGTCTCTAACCGAATCTGATTGGCTCCTGCCCTGATTCTCTGTGGTTCATTCTAATCATAGCTTTTACTACAGTAACGGTAGACATGAGTGGGCATGCAGGCCAACTATAACCTTGGAAGATTAAACAGGTGTTATCAGAGAAAAAAACCCAAATACTTTCAAAGTGACCAAAAAACCAGCTCGTCTTGTACTTACGTTTTGAAAGACCAGTAGATTTGTACGAAAAGAAATGAACTACTCACTCTCACCTTCTTTGATTAATGGTTGATTCGGGGGCCCTACATCAACTATCGCGCGATAGAAATCTCTAGCTCATTATTTAATTATTTTATTTAAAACCACGCTTTGTCCTAAATTTGACCTCCTTCCTTCCACTAATGTAGCGCTTTGTTTTTGTGCTTTTTCTCGGCACTGCAAGGTGAGAACATGGAAATGAGTTAATTAAAATACGGTAATTGTGGAAATGTTGTTACTGCAGCCTCTTATCAATTTTGCCACGACGTTTTACAAGTTTACATCATCAGACTTGACAACAACTTACAGTTTATCTGTTCTGTGTTTCCGGACAATTCGCTGTCAATTCTCAAAATGATACGAGAAATATTATAAGTGAATCAAACCTGACAATTTTATCAGCTTATTGTTGTGAAAAGTGGCACACTGCAGTTCCTTTATCTAAGAAAATGGCGCAGTTTCATGTGTATTGTGTAATGGGTAATCTGCAAAAGCTTCATGAGCGTGAACCGAACATCAGTATACATGTTTCCCATACATTTCCTTTGGTGCTGACAAGGAGAAATTGTTTGAAAATGAAAAGCATCTTACAAGGATGATCAATTCCTTAATTCTCATGACTTTTGTGTTTGATTCAGCAATGACACTGCAATGAGAAATTAGATACTAGTCACTATGAAGAGTTGAAAGGTTAATTAGGCTACGTAATTGCGCACGCTTTCCTTTGAAGTCGGGGTAATAATAGGGAAACTTAAGCAGCGGGCAGATGGTTCTGTAAACAGGATCATAAAGTACTTATGAGAAATTATTAAGTTGAAACTCTTGAAGGCAAATGCTCTCTGAAAGTGGATACCATTGAATAGTAACGTCACTTATCAGTTTGTGGTTGCATGATAGGAAATACATAATTTTTCAGACGGCTGGGAGTTTAATTAGTTTATGGTTGTTAGGAGTGCCAAGTACGTTTCTCCTGTCGAGAACACTAAAAGGGTCATGCATGTTATGTAATGAGTGTTATGTAATATGTTTACGGGCCTTTTAACTAGGGTATGTTACTGTTCCTTCAGAGTCAGGAAAAAACGGGAATCAAAATCACGCAGTAGATACTTTTTGTATTTTTGCTTTTGGGGAGTAGACATTGCAGAAACTATCTGCTCGAAAGTTCAAAATTATTGCAGGAGAGCGCCCTTTAAAAGCTTTGAGCGAAGCAAGTTTGCGGGAAATTGTGTTAGTGATGCATTCAGCACAAACAATGGATTTTTGAAAACAGGATACTGTTCCAATTCGAAATTATGCAGTTGAAGCTTTTGAAGCTTTATAAAGAACCGTCACGTATCTGTTCGCAGTTGCACGAGATGAAATATATACCTTTTCAGACGACTAAAGTTTTATTGGCCCAACGTTGTTAAAAGTGGCACTGAAATGTGTTTTTCCAGTCGAGAGCGCTTAAAGACATATTATGTAATAAGTCTTATATAACATTTTTATGGGCCTTTTAACTTCGGTATGTTACTTTTTATATCAGAGTCAGTAAAATAACAGGAAACATTAGCACCCAGTTGATGTGTTTTTTTTCTTTTGGAGTAAATATAGCAAAAGCAATGTAATTGTAAACAGGATAGCAACTAAAAGATCGTACTCTCAAAGCTCTCCCAAGCGAACGCTTTCTGAATGCAGATACGGCGAGCGAAGAAATCTTACAGGAGCTACAGATCTTTTGTAAGTGTGAATTTTTTGTGTTTGCAGTAAGACACTTTTATGGCTCAAGATCATTGAAAGTTCCGCTGGGAACTAATTTTTGCCTATCCAGTACAATACATTTCCTTCTCCGTTTGATGCTTTTGTTTTCGTTTGACATAGATTGCCTCAGTAACAAATTTCATTAAAAGCGGATGTTTTTTGTCCATGTGAATTGAACGTGGTAAATTTAGGAGGCACTCTATTTTGCTGTTTTATTTTTTTCTGTGCGAAATTATCGTAGCTGATCAAGGATAATCCGCAAAATTCACGAAAAAATTAGACTGTGAGATTTTCTTGGTACAAAATACGGATTCTGAAAACCATTTTAAACTGGACTCGTAATGCTCCATGCACCATGTATTTATGTGGGCGCTCGTAAGTTTTTCTCGATGATTCTGCTTGTAAAACGTTTACAAGCGGATGCTTCCAGGATATTTTAGGGTAAAATGTGCGTCCAATATGTGAGTGTTTTTGACCACGCGGGAAGTGAAAGTGCTGGATATTGGCCAAGAACAGGTCAATAGGCAGAACAAACTTTACGCCACAAAACTGTTAGATAAATACTGCTTGTATTTTACTTTTTTTTTGTTTGGTTGCGATTTCATTGCAATTCCATTGCGATAAAATCGTGATAGATATTACCCAGTTTAGACAGTACCTGCTCGGGTCACCAACCATAACACAGAATTCGATTCATATCACCTGCTTCCGAAGTTAGCCGTGTTATAAATAATTTTGCTAGGGGATATGAATGCTCATAAACCTTGCCCTGATATTACGCTAATTTTTAACGGTTTTCTTTTGTTTTTGCTGAGTCATTTATTACGCGGCACCGAGACTTCGCGTTCAGTCTCTAAATTTTTACGATAGGGCAACATTGTCGTTTTCACTTATTGAAGAGATGACCAACTTTACTGAACAAAGGCAGCCCACAACAACGCAGGATTTTTGTGAAGCTGATGAACTCGAAGAATTTCATTACATAGTTCTTGCATCAGTCAACATTTTCCTTTCCGTCGCTGCAACTTTAGGGAATGTCCTGATCCTCTTCGCTCTTCACAAGGAGTCTTCGCTGCATCCGCCGTCCAAGCTCTTGCTTCGTTGCCTTGCAATTACAGATCTCTGCGTTGGTTTGATATCTCACCCGATGTTTGCCGCACAGTTGCTATTCAAGATGTACGAAGTGCGAAATTTGTGCTCGCCCTTTAATATCTCGGAAAGCCTCCTCAGCGTAATTTTTGGTGGAGTGTCTTTGTTGACAGTAACAGCTGTGAGTGTGGACAGACTTCTTGCGCTGAAACTGGGCCTGCGATACAGACACACTGTAACAATAACACGAGTTGGTTCAGTTTTAACCTGCTTCTGCGTTGTGGCTATTGCAGTCGCTTTCGCAGAACGTTTTTGGAATTTCGAAATTTTCACCAACGTGAAGACCGGAGTAATAGGGCTGTGTTTAATAACTTCATTTTTTTGTTACGCGAAGATCTTCATTCGTCTGCACCGTCACCAAGTGCAAATGACAGCCAACTCCTGGCAGCCAAACGGAGAAGGAACTCCTTTGAACATTGTTCGATACCGTAAGACAGTTTCTGCAGCACTCTGGATCCAAATAACATTAGTTGCATGTTATCTCCCGAGAGCTTTCACTTACACTTTTAGATCGGCAGCTTTTGCTGGGGAGCTGTACACAGGCACACTTGTGCTCTTCAATTCCAGTCTCAACCCGTTTCTTTACTGTTGGAAGATCAAAGAAGTGAGACAAGCAGTGAAAGACACTGTCAAACGATGTTGCTCCTCCAGTTAGACAAAGTATTATTCGGGTGTGTACCAAAATGGCTGTATATTAAAGCTAATTTAGGGACGGGGAGGGCGGGTGTGTAGGAGTTTTGGGGTTCACATGGTTTCGTGGGGTTTTATATCGAAACAGTCGCCAAGCATATATTCTTTAGGGATTCGATGCTTCTATTTTTTCTTTTACTAAATTGCGTTTCCTTAGAATCAGATTAACAATTATTCCTAAACTCCTCTTGGGGTATGGAATTCTGGATTCAGAAGACTTTTTTGTAACGCAACCTCAGATTCAAATATTTTAAAAAGAGCACACTTCGAGAGAAAATCTTAAACCTAAATAGTCTCAATAGCCAATCGTTGTGTCGCACCAATGCGACGAAATGTGTTCAACTTTTCCTTTTTCAGCACCGATTTTATTAGGAATTTTTGGCGCACAACTCTGTCCTTTCCGAGAATAACCAAAGAGAATCAGTGACGATTGTATCAATTTAGTTACTTTAGATCAGATAGAAATACTGACTGGGTCAGTACAGTGAATGAGGAAGGTCTTTGACGAATAGGTTGAGGATGTACTTTAAAAAAATTGCACATGGTGAAAACTCATGGGAAATAATTTAGCTTTACTTCAAAATCAGATAGGAGAATAAATATTTCGGAAACCACTTCTTACCTACATATCTCGAGTTCAGTTACCTAAAAACCGCAAAGGCTTTATTTCTTACGACTGGTTACGACGTTTTAAACCTTGTTAAGAAGTCTCTTCGATATACGAATAAGACCTTGCGCTGTTTATCAAAATAAATATATTTACACATTACCAGTTCTGAGATACAAGTTGATAAGTACACACTGTTGTTCCGTTGAAACTGTAGACAAAAACTGTACAAACTTGTGTTTTACTTTTTAGACAGTTTAGCTGAATAAATATATGAGTATTTTTTGGCAACGAACTATTTCCGCTTAAGTAACGCGTGATAACGCCTTCCAGTTGATCACGTAAGATCACGCTACGTTATTCATGTCTGACAACAAAGATGGCATACCGCTGTCATCTTCGTGTTGACCGACGCAAGGTGTCCAGCTCCATCGCTAAGCCTTCCATCTGCCGTGAAGTAGATTCCTGTGGCGTTAGAAACAATAAGAACAGATGAGAGAAATAACGGGTGACTCAGTAAGTGAAGTGTAGATTGTTTGAGAGTAAAAGACATGCGCAACACCTTCGGTAAGGCTCGACAACTCCTCTTCTTACGCCAGAATTAGTTTTTATTTATCACCGGCTTACATTGCTTTTGCATGTTCTTTCACTTCACAACCCCGTTCCTGCTCCAGTGTGTGAATCGTTCTTACCTTAAGTCTTTCCAACTTTTGTGTCGTCATTAGGTTATAGTCCCTCTCGGCCTGTAAAGCATGTTTCATTCCTTTTGTTTCCCAGTGATTTTCAGCCACGTCACTGGCCAGTTTGCTGATGGTCATTCGGCTCGCCTGCGGAGAGAAACATGGATCAGCTAATGCAGCAACAGGTGTCTTGAAGTCGAGCTCACTTAGGTCTTCCTCCAATTGTTAGAGCTAAACATTTCCGTCCGTTAATGTTACATGACAGTTATAAGAAGTGACAACACTGAGTTTCGTTGAACTGGCGTTTTGCTATCAAGCAAGGCCAGTCAATTTCCACGCTTCTGCGCACAGCACTCGCAGACTGCGCTGCGGCTTGAGGTACCAAATATCTCAGAATATAGCGCAAAATCATAACAACCCTTCCTTCCTTTCTTACTCTCATAAGTTCCTTGGCTTTCTCCGTGGCTTCGTCAACTTTTCTTTTTTCCTCATCCCTTTTCTTAAAGTTTTCTTTGTTTTCTTTTTCGAGCGCCTCCTGTACTTTTCTGCGAAAGAAAAAGAAACGTATCAAATGGTAAGACACTTTGCAGAAGATTCAGACTTCTGCGTTGATTTTTTCTCTCTGATTGCTCTAAAGAATCTCGTGCCACCGTCTCAACCAATCAGATGTAAAAGTTACGCGAATTGTACCTTTAATCAATCGCCCTTCCCTCGCGTCTTGCAATTTCTATGTTTTTTCTTACGAGTTCTCATTGGCTTCTTTGTTCTGATTTGTAATTGTGATTTATTAGGTTTTCCCTTGAAGAAGTATAATGAGTCAATTTTTTGTTTTTATAAAGCATAATAAGTCAATGTCATACGACGGGCCGCTCATTACGGCTGGCATGAAATCCTTATATCGTCAGCGCTTAAATCAGGCGCTGATACTTCTTTTTAAATGCTTAAAGGGTATGGAACCTTCTTATCTTGGAAACCTTTTTAAATACAGGCATACACCGTATGGGCTTAGAGGTGAGGCTTGTCTTTGGAATTGCCTAATTTTAACTCAATCACAATCACACTCAATCTAAATGCGCTCAAACTTTTCCTCCCGTCTTAGGGAGGGTACTGGAGCGCATTTTTCTTGTATATTTTACGACGATAGAAGGTCACGGTAAACTGTGCACGAAACGACGCAGCGAGTTTGTAGCCTTGGTAAAATAGATAGATCCATTTAATTTTATTTGTACATCTGATAGCCGTACCTTGATCGTACTAACTCAGCCTGTAGGCTTCCAAATTTTGATTTGAACCATTCTTGAGCTTCGCGCAAATTCTCAGAAACCTAAAAACCAAGACATTGAATAACAGAAAATATCATTAAGAGGGCGCTCTTACTTTGAACAACCAATAGGGAGTTTCTGTAAAGAACAACAGAAACATCACCAGCAGCTACCTACAACATAACACTAACGAGTTAAAGAAGAAACGTTTGCTTAAGGGACTGATTCACAGGGTTGCCTGAACTTAGTCATGTTTCTGTAGCATGAAGGAACGAATATATGGATGCTTCTCCTGAGTGGGTTCGAGTCCAGTGAAAGTTACCCCTCTCTCCCTTCCACTTCACCAACCCCTTAGCATTTCCAGGGGGGATTTCCCCGACAATTCACCAGTTCTTATTCATACTCTTAGTGAAGAGTTACATTGCAGAGTAATGTGTCTTGCCCGAGACTACAGCACAATGACCCGGCCTGATTTCGAACCCAGACCTCCTGATCAAAATCCAGCGCCCTGCCAATTTGACAGTGGATCTTCCACAAAAAGAGGGTTGGTAGACTTTCTGTTATAGAAACCGTGAATGGTACATATAGCGCTAAGGATGAAACACATTCACAATGCAAAAGCCATTTCTCTTATTCACTCCACAAAGTAACTGCAAAAAATTTGATCAGTGGAGGGACAAACATACCTGTTTTGTTTCAAAATTGGCCTCTGCAAGTTTCCTTTCTGTATCTTTTCTGGATGTTTCCAAATCCTTTTCTCGTGCTTGAAGTTTCTATAGTATGATCAACGCAACAAACTCAAATGAAACGTGTCTAGAAATCAAATCCCTGTCGGCAAACTCTAATCCTCAAAAGCACACCCAAAACGATCAAACAAAAGACCAGGTTTTGACGGGATTCGACCCTTGACTTCCACTAGAAACTAGTTGGGGGCTATTAACTTCTGAACAAGGAAGCCACCTGTCAAGCGAACGGGGCAAACTTTAGAAGCCTTCTTGTTACTTGTTTGGAAGTAAACCACACTTTGACTGAAGGGTGATAATAACCTCACTAGTAAACTACAAATTGAAGAAATTGCAGTCAAGAAAACTTAAAAAAGTAACGCTCATGTTCAGTTGCATCTGGGTCAATCAGAGCGAGCAAAGTATCTCAGAGAGGCACTTGAAGTTTGTGATCTTAAAAGAGAAATTTACTCGAATTTATTTTTTGCGTTACTCACCTTATAGCGTTGTTCCAGCTCTTTTCTTCGGCTCTTTTCTTGCTCAAGTTCTTCATCCTTTTCTCTGTAAAAGATAACAAACACTTGGTTACCACAATATTTTGTGCAGTTTTTAATTGAGTATCAGGAACGCTTGGGCTTTGATTAACTTCTTCGCTTTGTGATTGGTCTAGAAGACTCACGCTACATTCTCAACCAATCAGATTCAAAACTGAAATTACAACTCTGGAACTCGCGTTTTCCTGCGCGTTACTGAATCCGTTCCTTGTTCTTCTCAGTGGCTCGTTGTAGCATTGGCCGTTGTGACTACCTCAGGTTTGGTTCATCAACACGCAACCAAAATGTACTCAATGAATTGAAGTTTTTGGGCCTAGCTTGATCTGATTTCTTTTCACTTACCTTTGTGCTTGGATCAATGTATCTAGCTCTGTCTGTAGATCAGCAAACTTTGAGACAAACTCTCCGATTGTTTTGGCCTACGACAACAAAATCAAAGAGATCGAATCAGATACTAAAAAAACAGCCAACAATATAGTGTAGTTAGCATGAAACTGTTAGTTCCGATGTGATGTTAGACCGAATTTGTCTCCCATAGCCGACATTTCAGTCGGAGAACTCTCTTTTACTCACGCTTACGAGACTTTCACGAAAATTTAGCGAAACGATACTGGTTTTTCCGACGAAACAAGTATGAACTTTAGTTGCAGTTTAAGTTAATTCACAGCTAACAAATAAAAAAGGCCACTTTGCTTTACCACAAAACACAACTCAAAGAACCTTTACGGGCATAAGTAACCACTCAAACCAAACTCAAGCACATGTGTGGCCTTATCTAGCAGCAAACTCGCAAACTGTTATTTAGCAGTATTTGTTATTCTGGTAGGACGATTTGTATAACATATATGAGACTTGCATACCTGTTCACTGTTCTTACGCATGTATTCATTCTTGACACGCTCCAAATTGTTCAATTCTTTCTTGAATAGCTTAAAAGTAAATTAGCTATGATTAATTATCAAAACCCTGATGACATGAATGTCGTCACTTCAACGTACGCCGCAAATTTAATATTGTATCGTAGGGAAGTGTTTATGCTAACTCCATACTGTGATTGGTCTTAAAAAACCTTGCGCCTCCGTTCGACCAATCACGCACCTACGTTAGCCTAAAGTTCTTAATTTCATAATTTGCAGACCGTTTTAATCTCTTACACTCTACTTGTTCCTTCCCAGCTTATCAGCTCCTTTTTTGTGTTTTTCTCAGGTCCCAGATACAGACATTGTAAACATGTTATCGTCTCTTACAAATTGAAGGTACTTCTGTATGTTACAAACAAATGAACAAAGAGCAGCATCAAAATCGTTTTCCTTACTTCACTCTGTAATTGGTCATTAAAACGTTCGCCACCGTTCGACCAATCAGATGCAAAACTGAACCAACACGTGACTTGGGCACCCGCGTTTTCCCGCGCTTAGGCAGTTACGAAAAAAAAAGAGTTTAATATTTTTTACCTCAGTTTTACTCTTTGCACTCTCCTCTTCCATATCTTTAGCTTTGTGAGATTTTCGTAGCTGTTCCAGCTGCACTTTCTGTGATTTTACTTTGGATTTGTTCTTGGAAAGTTGCTCTTCCAGCTCCTTGACTTTGTCTTCCAGATTTTTGTTTGATTCTTTCAACTTGCTCTTGTAACTGTTTGCGTCTTCCAGATCTTTCTTTAGCTATAAAGAAATATAAATTTTAGAGACATCATACTCTGAGTTACCTTTAAGCAGGCTAGTCTTTAGATTAAATGATTGGTCCGGATAGCTCACGCTTCGTTCTCGACTGATCAAGTACAAAACTACAACCAATCGCGACTTGATCACCCGCGTTCAGTTTTCCCGCGCCTGAGCAGTTTGCCTCTTTTGACTTCAAATCCTCATTGGCTCGCTGTGATATTTTCCTTAGCTCTGATTTGTTGTTGTGGTTACGTTGGTTTTGGTTTTACAAGATTGCACAGAATCCTCTTAAAAAATAATTTTACCTTGGACATTTCTTTCTTGTGTTTCACCCGCGTTTCCTGTAAGTCCTTTTGTCCTCTTCGAAGTATTTCTTCCACTCTTTCCTCGACCTCTGCAGCCTTCTGCTCGCGGGACTCTCGAATTTGATGATTTCTGGCAACAGAGAATGTTATGAGTTGAATGAGCCTGGAAGCAAAATTATTCTACATCTTTTGCATAAATACAATGACGATTCTAAGTTTGACACTATCTATGAAAACTTCGATCAGGGAACTATGAGAAAATTATTGCAAAACACCTTCCTTCCAGCAATTTTTCAAACTCCACTTGCTTTCTTCCTAACTCTGTCTGTAGCACCTCTATGTTGTCCTGCAGTTCTTTGTTCGCCGACAATAGTCTTTCCAGTTGGACTGACATTCCTTCGCGATCAACTTGCGCATCGGAGAGCGCTTCACGTAACG